CATTAAGGACATGCTTAATTTAGTGTTAAGAAACAGTTATTTTTGGTTTAATGAGGCCTATCATGAACAGTTTTTTGGTGAAGCTATAGGTAATCATGTACCTGTAAGAAAGTCATTTACATGTTAGAAAAGCAAGCCTTACAGCACTGGTATAAAGAAATGCATAAGAAGCCAAACATGTAGATAAGATATACTGATGACATATTTGGAATTTGGAACGACTCTTTAAGCAATTTACTATGTTTCTATGATTTTCTCAATAACTTTCAACCTACTGTAAAATTCACTATTAGGCATTCCAAAGAATCAAAAATCTTGCTATTCCACAACATTTAGATTATCTTAAGAGATGGCAAGCTTGTAAGAGAACTGTATCATAAGCCTTGTGAGGAATTGGTATTTTTACATTACCACCCGCAACACTCCTTACTCGTTAAATGTGAGACTATTATTGGACAACTAAACTTTACCAATGAGACTTTTACAACTAATCAAGGTAAATCCAAAGCTATTCAAGAACTTGTACACAAATTAAATATTAATGGATATTCAAAAATATTCATTGATAAGACCTTTCAAAGCTACGAATGCAGAATCTACAATAAAAACATTACCACATGAAAAAAAGCCATTTGATGAGAATTTCGTTGCACCATACATTGGTCCTAAGATTTCAGCTTGTATTAGATATGCATGAAAACATATAGGTGTTGACATCAGAGTTACAGGGAAACCAGGTGGATCTTTGAACAATATGCTAGTAAGATCAGCCTTTAAACCCAAAACATGAAATAAACCCTCAGACAAATGTGCAGGTTGTAGATCAAGTTTATGAGGAAACTGTAACCACAAGAATTCAGTATGTAGTTTGACATGCAAACTTTGTGGTTCTGTATACGTTGTTAAGACAGGCAGAATTATTAAGGATAGAATTAATGAACACCTTTGAGCTATGCACACATTAGACAGTACAGCCAATGCTGTGGCTGATCAATTTGTTGATCCCAATTAATGTTTAAAATGAAAGTCTATTAAAACTATTCTATCAGTTTTGTTATTAGTACCAACCATGACCTCTTCTATCAAATCAGGTGGCCTACTGTATAAAAATTGTCATTCAAAAATTAAAACTACAGAACTGTTATTTTAAAATCTTTAGTATTTCACATTTTTATTGTGTCTTTAAAACATTTCTACTTTTGAAACTCTTGGCTGTAATCCATATATATTCAACCTCTTCATCTAGCTACAACCCAAAATGGAGTCATCAGAATGTGCAAAATTATTGTGAGCAAACTTTTAAAATAGATAATAGTTTAAACATTTATAATTTTATTTATTTAATAAGCCACATTATCTTTGCACTAAAGCCCTTTACTAGGTTGCAAATGGCCAACAATGTTTACAAATGAGTCCTGAACCAAAATAAAAGGTAAACAGGATTTTATGTTGTATACAAATAAAAAAAAGGTTATAATTTCACTGTATAGGTCATTCATTAGGTCTCATTTGGAGTATTTTGTTCAGTCTTGGGCTCCTAATCTAAAGAAGGGCATTTTGGAAAGGGTTCAAAAGCACTATGATGATGCCTGGGATGGAAAGGTTTGTAATACAAGGATAGGATAAGATTTCTGTAACTGTTTTCTCTTGTAAAAAGAGGAGTTAGAAGGAATATAAATGAGGTGTTATGATTGTTAATTAAGGAGTTTATAGTGTTGATAGAACATACTTTTTTTCCGATTTAATGGTAAGAATAGTAGGACATGAGGACATAAATATATGTTTTGGTAGGGTAGATGTCATCTTAACAGTTTTATTTTTGTAACAGTGTGGTTGGCCTTCGGAATGGGTTGATTTCAGATATGGTGGATATAGAAAACTTAAGGAAAGCTCAATAAATATTTAAGTGATAATGGCTAGCTCTAAGTTGATATATCTATAGTTGAATATATGGACAGCCTTGATGGACCAACAACTAACTCCCTGTTGTATTTAAATTTTACGTTAAAACCTGGAATTTCAATATATTTCAAAATATCCAATATTTAGTAATCCCTGTCATATCATAAGCTTCCATTTAAACTACCTCTGATCTGAAATATTGTGTTCCTGATCATGAACCATGATAGTGGTTCATAATAGGGATCACCATGGAATTTCACAAAAATTCTAATAGAAAATATGGACAAAAACCATCTTAAAAAGCAGATTTGTTCTTGAAACAACCCTCAAGGCCTTCTATCTCAATGGCCAAGACTGCTAAAATATTGTTAATAGAAAAAAAGTTGATTTTCCTGTTCTTAGACAAAATTCAAAATTCATCCATTTGTTCTTCATATTAATATTATTATTCTTGTTTCAGAAGCCTACAGAAAAAATGGCTATGAATATTTTATTCAAACCTGGGCAAACCTACTAAAAAAACTCTTGCACAAGTCATAGACTATTTTTATATTGATTCTTGAAAGAGAAGGATATCTTATCAGTTTTTCATCACTACTAGCCAAGTTTCTCTTCAAAGCCATTCAAGCACCAAAATCTACAGCAAAAAACAGCTAGGTATACTGCATCAAAATCAGTGTGCATATCTACTAAACAAACTCCTGCAAAGGTTGTAGGGTTATTTTTAAGTTGATTCTTGAAAGTCGAGATTTCCAACCTCTTTCAATTTCTTCTTTGCTACCAACATAAGTTTTTTGAAGCATTCAAGCATTGCAGAAATGTAGAAGCCATTGTAAGTACCATTACACTAGTCGGAAATGCTCCATTTTATACTAATCAGAAAAGCTTCATTTTACTAGAGTAAACAATGTGTATATTTATAGTAGTGTCTCCAGCCTTATTATTATTGATTATAGTTTTAAAAGCCACTATGGAAAAATGGCTACAAATATTTTACTGAAACCTGGACAATAGTAATGAATGTAGTATTTAATTGCAATTTAAATAACCAATATTTAATGTTACATTACGTAATACATAGCTACAAATTTACATAAATGGACATAAAAAGTTATCAAACTAGATAATTTAAAATTCAAAGACAAGTAATAGGGATCATAAAAAAGTAAACATACAAGAGATTGAATACACTATCAGTATGAATATTGATCATGATCTGTCTTGCATCAAATTCCTATTTGACTGTAGCATGTTGCAAATAGCTAGGCATTCAATGTGTAGTATATCCATGCAACCCCTTTGCTGTGAAATAAAAATATGATGCATGATAGATTGATATATACATACTAATAATGTATTCAACCTCTTCTATGTTTACTTTTTTGTGATCCCTATTACTTGTTTGTAAATTTTTAATCATACTAATAACAAAACAAATTTTAATTACTATATCATCAAGATGCTACTGTTTGTTGCTGGTTATATTTGTTCTTACAATTACTTTCTTATGATTGTGTATTACTGGTATATAGAAAATGAGCACGTAATACATGTATCTGTAGAGTTTCTATGGTCAAGATCATAGTTTTAATAGTTTAAGTAATGCACAAAGATTTTAACTTAAAGAATAATATATATACAAGAAAGCAGATGTCATTCATACTTGACAATGCACATGTTAGTCATGTGTACATTTTTAGACATATTCATAGTTTACTTCATGCTTACACATTTTATTATGCAATATTATTGATTAGAACTGATTTTTAACTAGTGTAGATGATAAAGCTGACAAGTTTTTGATACACTATGTCAAGAAATTGGTGGTATTCTGCAAATAAAAAATTATAATGCATCTCTCCAAATACTGTTAAAACTTGTGAATGTCCTTGTGTTGGGAAATTACCATCACATTATACAAAACTTCATTGAGCCCTTGGAGTACTGCATTCAGTTTTTGTATTTATAAAAGGCAATTTAGAAAATATATTGGTTCACATAAAAAAATGCAAAACTAACAAACAAAATGATTCCTGCTTTGAAACATTTAAGCTATTTAAACTATTTATAACAGGATAATTGGAGTGATAGAAGAATAAGATTAAAAATAGAAATACAGTATATTATAAGAAATAAAAAAAGACAAAGTATACTCAGATTCAGGTAGGCAGGATATTAGGCAAATATTTTTCTTGTTAAAAAAAATTAACTCATGGAATGATTTGGCAAAAGATGTGGTTTGTGGTAGTTTGAATTCCTTTTAAGCAATAAGTAGATATGAAGAATATATTTGTGTTAGGCTGGTTTCATTGGTGGGTGACCTCAATGGAACCAATCACATTCTTTTATATTCTTACACCCATATATGTATTTTACAATCATACATCCATTATGATTCAAAAACTTCTTATCTGATGCTTTTGTATTCATATTACATGTACAACAAAATTCTGATAAAAAACAATCACTGATTTTTTTGATGTAGCTTTAGTTAAAAAAAAAAGGTATTCTAAATGTGGAATATCATATTTATATTTATAGAAAATATAAAAAGTATCAATAACAAATAAGAATCTACTTTAAAAGATAGGTACAATGGTAAACAAAACACTTTTAATTTGAAGTATTACAGGAAATGTTTTGAGAAATTTCCTTGTAGTTGTAGCTTCATGGAATTAAACATATAGCTTTAATAATAACCACAAGTATATATGTGTGTATATATATATATATACATATATAAAAGTTACTGTTCCTTAGTCTTACGTTTATTTGGATATAATGATAAATGTCTAATATTGTTTTCCTAATTATACCACAAATACAACAGCAAAATAATATTTAATAATTCTTCAGTGATATGCTTTTAATTTACTTTGAAAGCATGAATAATACTGATATGATGCATGTGTATGCACAGACACACACACACACACATACATATATATATATATATGTGTGTGTGTGTGTGTGGTGTAAATAATATAATATAATTAATAATTTATGAAATAATCTTAAAAAACTAACTTTAAAGCACTGGAAGGAGTTTTTAGTTTTTAAGAGCACTTAAAATACTGTATCAAATAAAGTTTACTAACTTATTTTTCTCTTCATTTTCGCCATACAAATCCACATCTTCAAACACATATTTCGATACTTCTGGATGACCATTTGGGATATCATTTGAAACATCCAACTGTCTTTTTACCATGATTGATGACCTGTGTTGTTTAGCTTATACCTAAGATATTTTAGAATAAATAAAGATTATTCAAGAGTCTAAGAATTAAGGTATATAAAATTCTGCTATTAAATACACACAATTTGACTTTGACACACATAAATTGATACTTTCTATCATACAACTACAAGCCTAAGAAAACTAAAAATACGAATAACTTCAAATGTTCAATAACATAAATATACAGTTAACTGCGGTTACTGCACTATAACTTATAAGTGTAGCTTAGTATAACTGTATATGTATTCACACTGTTATTAACAGCCTTTTAAAATTTAAGTCCTTAAAACACGAATATTACCTTGCAGGTGAAAAATGAAAAGGCTCTAACAAAAATCAACATAATAATTAATATTCAAAATGACACTTTTTAATTGAAATGATATGTAAAACCAACATCAAAACTTAATCATCAATTTTCCGTGTTTGAACTTTACAAATTACACTTTTACAGGCAGTTTACCGTCTTTAGTTTAGACAGTTTAGTTTAAATTAGAGTTTACTTTTAGCTACTCCTATGAAAACTTATCTTTCTTTTCTTTATGAAAATAACCCTGAACCATTTCAAGGTGATTTACTTCCCCCAGATGAATTTTACCAAGAATTTTGTTCGGTACATTTACAAACATAACGCTATAACTATCAGCATCAACAAGTATAATACTAATAACTCCACCGAATGTGGTGTACAAGGCCATTTCTATTTACCGGCGTTACAGTCGCCCTCTGACTTCATTGTGTGTATATATTCAACAATAATTTAAAATAGTTCGTTTCTATTTCCTTCTTTCCATCTGATCACTTCGGTCAATAAAAATAACTTGCACAGTTAAGATATAAGAATTGAAACTAAAAACATTTTTCCAAGTTTAAACTAATCGAAATCAAACACCATAGCCACATTAGAGTAGGAAATCACTTTCTCCCTCCAAAAGAAAAAAAAAGAAAAAAAACCCTTAATGCAAGAATTATTAAATTATTAAGGAGACTGTTTGGTTTGTTCGTTCCTGCGCTCTAGATCCTACGGGTGTCGAAACCAGATTTTTAGCGTTATAAGTCTTCGGGATTGCTGCCGATCTACCAGGCGAAGGAGGCAGTTTATTACGTATAAAATAATTATAAAAGTTGGATTACTTTATGATGTTAAAATACTTGTAACCTTTGTTATTTTACTTCACAGTTTAAACTCTCAACTTTTAAAATCTTACACAGCTAAAATTTCATAATTATTCAAGTATTCAGTAATACTCAATGCTAAATTTATTACTTAATACCTATATATATCTTTGTCTATTTAAATCATACAGACGAGACTGTGCAAAACAAAAATCAATAACAATCTATAATTCTTACCAAAACGACTACTGACTGAGTGCAAGTGACTAAGTAACATTTCAAACGTCATTATATTATATTCTACAAAACAAGTCTTTACATGTTCAAAAGGTATTGCATCAAAGAACCACAACTTGTGTAACAAACACTTAGCACACGCTGTCCTTGATAAAAACAACACAACGAGGCACAGTTCACATGAAAAGAAGTATGTAGGCTATGTGCTCTGTACGTTGCGGCCTTATTCGAAATCAGGAAAAGTACATATATTCTTACCTTTACAGCCAGTAAAGCCGCGGATTTAGAACTGTAGTGAGCTCTTTGGGTGTATGAACTACTATAATCGCTTACACTGTGGAAATATTATTTTCATAAATAATATACAAAAGTAAGTGACTAACAAAAATATTATGTCAATATAAATTATAATGCCTAGAAAATAGAATGTGCTGTGAAGTCAATACTTATCATAATCATAAGTAGGCTTATCGAATCAGTGTCTTATCAGTGATTTTAATTATTTAACATATGAAATATGTCAAGGCCATTCTGATGACAAGCACAAGTCTATTTTAATTTGGTTGAAACGTTACTATGAATAAACACAAACTCGTGAAATGTATGTGTTCTATGGTTTAAAATACAAAAATAAAAATCACATCTTGTCTAAATATTGTTACGAGGGTTTCACTCTTTTACGTAACAGTTACGAAATCATCGTGAAACATTTTATGTTCTTATGCAGCGAAAGTTCTTACCTGTTTTTTTAGATTATGCTATCACTACTTAATTTCAACCATAAATCTCTGATAATAATAGTTTAAATAAATTCTAAAATATAAGGCTTTTAATTATTTGTGATTTTATTATCTTTACTGTATACAGAAACAGTCGATGTTCCCTATGTGTCTACCACTCTGTAAACAACGATTTTATATTAAAGAATATTTTGACCAAAGGACTGGACTCACTTTTAGATAACAATATAGTTATTGTCTAATTAGTTTAGAACTTTATTGGCGCCTTCTATTTTAGTATAGGTCCGGCAAGTAAAGCGGAGATATAATTGCAGATAGACAGATATAGAGACAGATACTTGAGTTAAGCGAGCGGTAGTGACCGTAAGTAAAGTGTGTGAATCGTTGTGAATTATAGCGTGTGTTTAAGTTAAAGTGACTGTGGAAATTCTGTGTATTGCAAAGTTGTATTGAGAAAGAATAAACTAGTTTTATTTAAGAAAGAACTTGTATCGCTGAGGTTCCTCGGGAAGAATTGATACCGGAAATTAACAAACGACCAGAGACGTAACAATATTTAATTGGTGATGCTGTCAGGACAATGACGTCAGTTTGTTTGTTTGAAGTTAAGCACAAAGCTACACAATGTACTGTCTGTGCTCTGCCCCCCCAAGGGTATCGAAATCCGGTTTCTGGCGCTGTAAGTCCGCAGAAATGATTTACCCAAACAATATATTATTAACATTTACCCTGCGGTTCTGGAAACCGAAAATACCACCATATCAAATACTGAGTTATACATAATTTAGATTTAGATGTTTGGACATAAATACCACGATGTTAAGGTATTACTATTCTAAGCCCAACTTTAGGGACAGTTTTATTGTCTCCCCTATTGATCTATTGTATTCCAATTATTTCTTTCATCTTATATTTTTTTTCTTTGTGAGCAGCCACCTTCCCAAATCTGGCTTCAGACAGCGAAAGGTGTTAAAGATGTGGGACGTTGTAGGCTAGAGCACCCACATCTGCTCTTTTTTCTCCCTCTCTCTTTTTAAGAATGTTAGGCCTACTAAACTGAGGTTAAACTGGATAAACGGCGTACCCAACGCAATTTGAGTCTTACTTCCGCCAGTTCCTCAAAAACCAGTGCACTTTGCATAACTACCCACCTTATGGTGTGTGATCAGATGTTTTGCAGCTGCGTTGTTTCTTTTCTTCTTCTTTTTCATGTTCTACTTAATATTTCAATAATATGTATATCTATATATATTTGCAAAAGTAACTCGTAAATCTGGCTTAGCAAATATAAAATATGTAAATATTGAACTATTTTTCAGGCAAATCGTTTAGTTCAATTCACAGATCAGTACTTATAATGCTTGGAGACGGCTTGAATGGGTAATGAATAAAAACTTTAATATAAGTTTAACATAACAGCAAATGTTAAATCTTACCTGATGATGACAAAACCTTGTCGAAACGTTGTAC